CACCTCGAGCACTGCACCACTGCAAGGCTGCGGCTTGCGGTCCTGCTGTTCTCACATCCACTGCAGCTGTTCTGCTTCTCAGCGTGTGTTTTACTGTTACTCAGGTTTTTCTTCCTCTTGCCCCAGCCCTTTCCTTTTCTCCAGCTGTCTGACTTGCTAGTGTTTCTGTTGCTTACCTGGGGGGCTTTAAGTAAAACTGTGCTTTATTTTGATGGCAAATGGGCTTTCTTCTTTTTTGAGCTCAAGGCCCAGCAAGTCAGTGAATATAGGCTGACATCTGAGGGTAAGGCTGTAAGGACAGCCTGTGAGAAGCAGCAGTTCATTTAGTCTCCTGTTTTTGCTTAGTTTCCCCTCATATTCTAATATAATCTAAGAAATAAATATGTGCAGCATGCACTGAAAATATGCTTTAAGATAAGTGCTTAAGGCTGTATCAGAATGATAGCTGTCATTTTTTCCAAGTTAACTTTTCAGCATGTGTTTTCACAGGGTTCATAATATGGTCCAGCTGTTCGAAGGGCCACCTAGGCTTCTGGGGATCCTACCCATCATCAAAAGTCATTTGTAAAACACTGACCTTAGTGGGGCTTATTGGCGTAGTGAAGCCTGGCAGTATTGTGCAGTGAAGTTAAAAGAGTTACGTTTTCTTCAGGGTATTTTGCTCACGTTTGCATGCTGTTGGTTTTGATACCCAAGAAAATCCTTAGTGCAGAGGGATTTATGCTTATTTATGCTTCAGAGGTCTAATCAGCCCCCCACGAATGTAGATAAAGGCTGTTTTGTTCGTTTTAGTGAACTTTCCATCAGAATTGAGATGGAAAACCTACTGTGCTGTAAGTGGAATTTACAGCTGCCTATATTTAAGCTAACACTTAGCAAATTAACTTAGGACTTCCTATAGCGAAGTGTGCTGAACCATTTCTGATACGCTATTTCATTTTAACCTTATGCCAGCCTGAGTTGTTAGAGATTTTGGGTGACATAACCCCACATAGGGAATATATCCCAGGTGAGGTGAGCGAATCCTGCTTCCTCGCACTGCTTTTTAAAAGCACAATTTTGAAAGCTACAATTTAAAATTGCCACAATCTATTTTTTTAATAAATAAAATTTGGGGAGATAAAGGGAAGTTGTTTTGTCTGTGTTAAAAAAGGTCCTCCAGCTGTCTCATGGAGAAACACTAATATCTAGCAGTACTGGGGACCGGAGACGTAAAATTTGGTGAACTGGATACGCTATCCAAAAAATTCCCCTGGCAACATGTGAATTGTCTGCTGGGACTGACAGGGCTGAGGAAGGCTTTATACAGGGTGTCTGTCCAGGTGGTAGTGGAACAATACCTACCGTGCTCAGCTGTGGAGTGGAAAGCAGGAGGCTCCTTGTTTCTCCAAGGTTCTTCCTGCTGGAATCGGGGAGACAGCCTGACTGAAAGCCTGGGACTGATAAACATGCAGGTAGGTGGATGTGAAGTAAGTGAAATGGGTGCAGGACTGAAAGAAGACCAACTGAGAACAACTGAAAAGGAAAGGCATAAAGCAGTTGGTAGGATGCTGGGAGATGAGGGAAGGAGTGGGATGAGCTGAGAGAAACCAGGGAAGGGGACAGGAGAAGCAGTGGTGCAGAGCTTCAGGATGTACTGGAGGCTGAGTAAGAAGCAGTGTGGAGGGAGCTGGAGTCTGGTCTGTGGGGAGAAAACGCATTTCAAGGCTAGGACTCTCCCATGAAAGATTCCTAGAGCATTTTTTATTTTTATACCAAGATAGAAGCAGCCCTGACACCCTCATTGCTGCTTTTCATTTTCAGCAAAAAGCACTGAAGCCTACCAACCAGAAACATGCATCTGTTCTGTCCACTACCAGCTGCTTGGCTCCTAGAAGTCCAAATTGTTTTCCCCAGTATATGCAGTATTTGCACAGGCAGCAGTGATCTCAGTATACATTTCAAATGCCCGGGAATTGGATGGTCCCATGTAATAATTTATTTTGATTTCCCTCAAGGCCATCTTGATTATTATTTTTTTAATTACAAAATAACATTCAAACTAAATAAACAGATAATGCTTGGTATTTTACAACACAAGCATAATCTCTCTGACTCCTGCTGCAGAGGATCCAGCTCTTTGGAAAGTGCTTTGCAAAATGAATTAGCCAAGCACAGCCCCAGCCCATCAAACCATCCCTGTGCCCTAACTTCTCGGCAGAGTTCCTCTCCTATGTCTGCGTTTTTTAATAGTTATCCACAGGTTTAAAAATACTATATTTATGTTCTATTAAATTCCAAACGAACTGTCCCCACCTCTTTCTGGAAAGGCAATAAAATGGTTCAGACACCAGTCACATCCTGCACACCTCCACCCACAGGCGCGCACAGCAGCAGTGCATGAACTGAAGCTGTCTCTGACACACGTAATTTTCCTTATTACTAAGTGCTCAGCTCTTTTCAATGCCTTTAAAACGAAAGATTTATATGTGCGTATGTACATGTAGAAGAAAGACGGAGGAAAAGAATGAGAATTAATTTGTCTTCTTTCAGATTCTTCAAATAAGTCCTGGCAATCTTGCCATATTTGGGTCGAGATCCAAAGCCTGTGGAAGCTACTGCTGTGGCACACAGAGTGTTTTGGAGAGTAACTGTCACCTATCTCTCTTGAAGAGTTAATGTACATCTGTAATAAACGTGTCATGTGGCACAGGCATTTCTCTAAGGAGAAGCTTTACAGTTTGTCAAACAAACATATTTAGTTATCTTCAGAAACAAAGAATGTATCGTACTTAACACTCATAAGCTCACACAATTTGCATTTCTTAAAAAAAAAAAAAAAAGCTCTTTACTGTTTTCTTGTCATATACACTAGTAACACCAAGTCTGCAAGGAGTCTTAAATCAATTAATTGTTTTTCACTTTGTACTTCTATATCAAGTCTGTGTTCTTGTCGTAAGATACGCTCTATCAGACCACACAGTAAGACCCATCATTTTTTCTGGTGTGTTTCTATCAGTCTGGAAAAACAGAACAAGCTTAGAATTGGTGTGGTCATGCTGATGTTAAGAAGTGTCAGCATCCTTGAGGCTTTAAGTTTTCTTTTGGGTGAGCCTCCTGGTTGCTATTAAATTTGCCAGTTGTCTGAGTTTCTCACTACTAAAATCAGGCTAGATATTTAATGAAGATGGCTTTTTGCACAGCACATTAGACTACTTATGTGTTGTATGTTGTTGAGGAATAATGTTCAAATATCCTTCTAGATTACTTTGTTATTTCCCACCTAGACTAGGAAAGGAGGGGTGTGTATGATACGAAAGAAGCCCCTAAGCATGGACCTTGTCATCTTAGGGCTTAGGAGAGTTGGAATTCCAGCTCCTTGCCTGTCCCCTTGCAGTGAGCCTTGCCTCTACAGCAGGTAACCCTGCGCTCTGTGTGCTGGCTCAGGGGAAACCTGTACCACACTGTGGGAAACTTGGGCAGAGCAGGATGGGACAAACAAAAAAGGGGAAATGTCACATTTGAGACAACATTGCCTTTAAAACTATGAGTCAGCTGCTGCTTCAGGGATTTGAGTGAAAAACTTAATGAACAGAAGTGGATTGTTCTAGGAACAAACTGCATGAGATCGAAGCTTTCTTTGAATTATTTCAAGAATAATGAATCCTGCAAAAGTCAGTTTTCAAAAACATCAGAGAAATGCAATATATTACACTTACTTACTGAAGCCATTTTCAGCTGTCTCTTCAGGGGCCCTGCCTACAGGGGGCGGGAGGATACAACAACAAATACAGTGAAACATTTCAGTGTTTCTAGGTTTAAATTTTCAGTTTGGCAAAAAGCTTCATTTGGTTTTCTCTTCACCTTTGTTCAGTACAAAAACGGGCATCAAGCCATAGTGATTTCCTCCACAACAACACTGTGTATTTTTGGACAGCTATAATGGCCTTCAGAAGTCTAATTTCTTCAGATGGATGTTTTATTGTCTCACAGATGAAAATGAGGTCTCCATTAGTATCACCGTTACCCTCTTATATTTCCCTTACCCTTTCCAAATACCAAATATAATAATAATAATAAAATAACAATAATTTTAATAATAATAAAATAACAAATATATTTGTTATTTGTAGATTCTCATACTGTCACATTCTCCAGTATGTTTACTGCCCTCCTTTCAGTAGCCTTGACGTTGCAGAATGGCACTGCTGTCACAAGTACTAGAATCCCTGAATGAACAGGATTGGAAATGGCCAGCAGATTAACAGTAATTGCTTGAAGTTTACTCTTTGGCTTAAAGTAGTGGGGGAGAAATATTTACCTAAATGAATTTTTAGTAGATACTATAAATAAGAAACTGCTTAAGAAAATACTGCTTGTGTATACATTAGCATGTGATTTTAATTATGCTAACATTTGTGCTCTTTGTGTATTTTGACTTAGGGCCATGTGAGATGCATGCGTGATCTGTCGCTCATGTAGAGTTAATCATAATTTGTCCATATAGGGAAAAAAAATCCTTGGGAAAATATGGTAACGCTTTTCACTGGCAGTAAATGTTAACTGTTGTTAGTCCTTTAAAAATACATATTCTTAGGAAACTACACAAACTCTGTAGTTGAAAGTGTTCCTTGAAAAGAGGTATGTATCATGTGTCCATATCCACCACAGGAATGAATTGTATTGACTAAGGAACTGTATCCTTTTGCAGCATATCATTTATTTCATTTTCCTTTCCCTTGAACAAGAAAATATATTTTGATCAATGTTCGACAATCCAAGCCAAGTTATTTAAAATAATATTCACTTTGTACTTAGTGTAAAATGCTATTTTTAGAGCAGATACTTCTGTTATACAATATTGCAAACAGAAATCTTTTGTTTCTAGTTCTCATACAGAACCAATTAGTAAAGAGTCTTTGGACTTCTTTGCCCTTCTCCTTTTCCCAGTTAGTGACAAATAACTGGGTCTCGCTGACACATAGAACAACAAATAGATAAAGCAAGCATGGATTCTGAGATCTATAATTTTTAATAATTTTTAAACTAGCTACAAAATGTCAATCACTTCACAAACTGACAGGAGACATAAGGAATTTCATATTACATGCTGTAAATGATATTTATCTCACAGTTTATCTAGAGTTCATTCATTTAGGTTTTTTTATTATTTTTAATTAAGTCAGCTACTAAACATCTCAGCGATTTGGTGTGCATAGCTCTAGGTAAGCAACAGAGAACTGTAGTGATAACAAACCACATGGGGATAGCGACTAGTAAGAGAGAGCCTTATAAAAATTACATTTCTTTGCACCATTTCATATGGTAGTCGTTTCCTTCAAAAGATAGTCTTCAAAAGCAGCAGACAAACCCAATATATTACACTTATTCTTTTTGTCTTTGACATGTTTTCAGCCAAGCACGTTTTGCTGGCAATGGCTAAATGGTGAGTGCCAAATCCCTCTTTTTTCATAATTAAAAAAAAATGATCATGATTAATAACTCTATGTATATATATATATATATATCAACAAGAAAAAGTGGCACGACTGCAAACTTGCTGGTATAACATAGTCCCAAAAGAGTCCGAATACTGAGCATGCTTTTGTTGTCATTGTTGGTATGCTACTGCCATGGGAAAAAGTCTTGTTTAAGTAGGAGTCTAAAAGTCTATTTATTCCTCATGCATAAATGCATAAATCACATCACTTTGTAGTGCAATGCTTGTTATAGTTAGATAATTCCACATTGTCTAATCATGAAATCATAACAACAGATAATGGCAATGAAGAACTGAAGACAGCAGGTTTAAGTGCTTAAACATCATGATACCCAAAGACAGGAGCATGGCAGTAGCTCTGTGGAATGTCACAGTTTTACAAGAACAATACTGTATATTTAAAGGTTAACAGCACGTTTAGCATTCCAACATGGTTGTCATTCAGCAAACATTTTAAAAAAGGAGAGGAAAAAGGAAAAGGAATTCAAACAGAAACAAGGAAAGGAAAAATCCCAAAAAACGTCATAGTGAGCTATAGCCATCAAATCAGCACTATGTACAACCTTTGGAAAGAAAGATATCTAGAAAAAAATTAATTACAAGTATCATTTTTGGAAAGCTGACAAACTACACAGGACAACATTTACAATGGGGCCGATATGTGCATGTGTGCAAACCTAGTAGGTAAATACCATGATAAAAGCATGAAGTACTGCCCTCTGGGACAGCATTAAAAGGAAATGCACTTTGCTGCATTTAACCACTGCCGAGCATCTTTGTTGCACGCTGGTTGGCTTCATCAATCCTGGTTTTATTGGAATCAGCCTAGGGAAACACAAAGAAAGGGGACAGATGATTATGTGGCAGAGAGAGAAGGTGCACAGTGCTTTGTGGGCACTCCTTTAGTTTTGACTGTTAGGAAAAACAAAACAAATGGAAGTTACGCATTAGCCTGATTTTGTGACACTGAGTAGCCTTTGAGTTTTTGTGAGCTTTTGTGTTTGTATTCAATTTCTCTTACACTCTCTTAAAAGCCATGCCAGATCTGTGGCTGGTGCTAATGGCTTGCACCATCAACAGTGGTGGATGATAGGATAAAAATTGTGATGCACATGTGGATTTCATTAGTGAAAATCTTCCAGTGCTCTGTAATGCTTGGATTCAGTGAACCTGGACTCTGTCTGGACCTTTTGACTGTGTGTGTGGCAAGGAAAGGAGAAGCAGGAGTGATGCCGTTACTCCTCTCTCTCAACAAGGAGTTCAGTGTAGCTGCAAGACAGGATAACCTCTTTGATCAGGCAGCTGCATAGGTGGGAATTAAGAAGGAAGGGATTCCATCATGATTTGGGATTCTACCATTATTTCCAAAAATCAAACTGGAATTTAGTCCAGTGTGGGCTGAACTGTTAACTTCACTGTCTTCCATGCTGTAATACTTGCCATGCAAAAAAAATGCTGTTAATAGAACAACAGATTTTGGAGTTCTGTTTGAGAGGGCAGAGACTTTAACCATGGCTTTCTGTTGCTCTGTAGAAGTTAGTTTTGAAGTCAAAGACATTATTGTAGCTGACAAAAACTGGCAAAGCTCCTTTCAAGTCCATGTTGCTGGTAGAGGATGAGATAGAAAATGCTTTCAGTGTTTGAAATGAGACCTGTGAGAAAGGTGGGAGTTGTGTTACTGCTTTAAAAGCGTGACATCAAATAGCAAACTCTTTTCTGCAGTTTGATGTTTTCATTTTTTATTTTTGTTTTTTTTTGCCTTGATGATTATTCCCAGCTCTCTGGGGTGTACCCAAATAGTGCAGATTTATTTTAAATCTTCAATTTGCAAAGGCTGAAGTATCTTTCCCACATTCGTTTCAATACCTTTGAAAATGGTTATAGCGATCTGCAATAAATCACTCTTAAGCATCTTGGGCTTTTCACCCTAATTGTTCTGGCACATGTAAACATGTATTTTTAGTACAGCAGCGTGTGCCAGATCCTCAGCAAGAGTAAATCACCATAACTACTCAGTATGAGCCACAGTTCTGTTTTTTATCCATGAATTTGACCTTGTCTATTGCAGTATAGCTTTTGCCAAAAGATTACCTGAAAGATAAATTAATGGCTTGAAAGCATTTAACTTTATCATGAAATACATTAATATTGATTGAATGTTAAGTGTTGATGAAACATAATGTTTCTAAATGGGAATACTGAAGCCTAAATTTGGTAAATGATGCTTCATCCAAGTCAGTGGGAGTCCTTGCCCAGACCTTCCCAGCTGAGTGAAGACAAAATGTTTTAGCCTTTCTACTTTGGTCCCAGCTCTCCATTAATGGCTCTTTTTTGGAACAGGCTGTCTTCTGGTGATGGTTTTTGACCCTTTTGACCTACTTATCACATCATCATTTTAGTTTTTGTCCCTGTTTCTCTGATCTAAAGGAAGAATAAAACCTTTTATTTGTTGCCTCATCTGATTACCATGAATAGATTAGATTACGTCTCTGCATTATGAAATTGCTCTGGTTTGGATGCACACATCCAGTTTAACATAAGTGCTTTAGAAGCATTTGGGCTTTACCTTGGTGAGGTACCCAAGCTTTTTCAACTTACACCAATGAAGGATCTTTCTAATGATGATAGTTGACTGAAAGCACAGTGCTCGAGTTGGTCAGAAAAAGAAAACCACTCCAGCCACCCTGCATTGCCTGCCACCAGCCAGGGGTGATGCCTATTGCCATGTCTCGTTGCAGAATGGAAGTGTGTACATTTTTTGGTGTTGGTATTTGGTATTATCCAGTTTCAGTAATTTCTATCTTTAATAGAGGGTTATCCTAATGTTTTATGTTTCCTTTTCTAGTATCTCATTACTGCTTGGGCCACACATTCTTACTCAAAGAAATTCAGCAGATTTTCACTAAGACTGAAGACTCCTATTTTTATGCTGCTTTCCTGATGATTCCTTTGTGTACACTGCAAGTGCATCTTTCAGAAATGTGTCACTCTTCTTAGCCAAGGGCCCTGACCAGCAGGACGTGCCTATGAGGCTGGATTTAATGAATTGCGTTAGCTACCAACATTTTTTCCGTTTGCTGTATGAAACACTGCACACCTAACCCTGTAGGAAAACCACTCAGATGTGGAAGGCCAGTCCCTAGTAAGCCGCTGCTCTCAGCATGCACTGCCTAGAGATATGGCCCACGTTTTTCATGTTCACAAGAGGCCTGGTCAGTATTTTCAAATTCGAGGTGTTTACAAGCATGAGCTGATAAAGAATCCTTGTTAGGATTGCTGTGTTTTATGATAGTATCCTGCAGACGTGGATAGCATGCATCTGATTTCTATCCGCAGGGTATGTCTCCTGCTACTATGCTATGACATGAGGAGGATAGCTACAAATGTGTGTGTGTCTTCCTCTGAAAAAATAATGTATATCATAGACTGTTATTTGAACTAGTTATGGCATGGGATGGATAATTTTCCAGTCCCTTGTTGCAGTGTAGATTTGCTGTTTTCTGCTGCTTTTCATATGAACAGCAATGGTAAATCTCTCACCTCCAACCAACCACCCATTTCATTTTTCCCTAAAATAGGAATTGTTGCAGAATGGCATCATGGTGACACTGTGCATTTTCCAATATATGCAGACTAATAGATGCAGCTTTAGGAAGCACACTTTTGATTGACACAAAACCATGCACTCTTCTGTGTTGTATGACTATGTCAGAGACTAGCTTCCTGCCTGTAAGGCGACATATTCTTCACCCAATCCTTCTTGGAATCAAACCCGAATAAGGAAAGTGAGTTGATTGAATCCCTGACTGCTATTTCTTTTTTTTCTTTTCTTTTCTTTTCTTTTTTTTTTTTTCCTTTTGTGTGTGCATGTATATATGTGTGCATACTAGGCTCTGGTATAATTAATTGATAAGAAAAACAGGCATGGACGTCCTGCTCATCTGAGAAGGTTTGCACATGCCAGAAGGCTCAAGAGTACAAGCTCTACCGCTTATGGTCAGCATTAACTCTAAGCAGCACATGTAAGTCCTTGGGTTAGATCCTCAGGCTGTGTAAATCTCAGCTGAAGTCAAGTGTTGTATTGATTTTACACCAGATGAAGATCTAGCCTCTTATGTCCCTTTAGCCTGTGCCTGGAGCGCTGCCAGTGTGAATGCAGATGGCTTGCAGATCTTGAGATGTGAGTATGGCAGTGCGATCCCAGCGGGGTTTGGAGGGTGCTGCTTTATGCTTCAGAAATCTGCAATGCAGGTCTGGCACTGGAACAGTGTTTTCTACCTTTTTAGCTGGTGATATCACAGTAGAAATACTGAGCTTCTGGACTTTACCAGGCTCATGTATGGTCCAGTTCTATGTACACACACCAAGAGTGGGTATGTTGCAATGTGATTATAATCAGGCAGTATGACAAGTCTAGCTGGACTGTTTCCATGCAGCAAAGCCTTGCTTAATGCATCCCCATCCCTTTTTTGTGACTGGTCCTCTAAAGAAGCAATCCTATTCTAAATCACTTGTGCAGTTTCTGAGGGAAGGAGAGTCCGGGAAGGCTTAAAATGTGCCAGGAAGTGCCAGGGTCCAAATTCCACGGTTCTGCACAACTCGGGATATTTGTCCTTTCCCAACACCCTTGCAGAAGTAGTCTTTATTTGTGCTAAGCAGTCTCCTCGCTAGCTGTTGTCTTGCAAATCGAAAGTGCTGCTTCAACCCAACCAGCACTGAAAGTTACTAAAGATCCACAGCAGCAAGCTCTGTGGTGGTCCAAAGATTTGGAAGGAGGAGAGAGGAGCACTAGCAGTTGTTTCTGTCATCTGTCCTCCTCTGAGCAGAATTAAAACTACAGCACACCCTTTTAAAGAGCTGAGAACGAGCTGGTAGACACATCTGCTCTTCTTATGCACAGCCTATGCTTGCAGAAGGGAAAACACCGCCCTGCTTGGGGTTCTCTTAGAAATGTCAGTTCTTACCTTCTCCATGATCCTGTCAATCTGGCGATTCTGTGTGTCGATCTCATTGCCCATGTCCAGAGCCATGTGACGTAAGTTGCCAATGATGCCGCTGACCTGCTCAAGGTTCTCATCCATTTCATTTTCCCGGGCATCATTTGTTACCCTTGAAGTAATGAAACCAACCAATTATTTGAAGCAAGGAGAGAAGAAATTCCCCTGAAACTGATTCACCCAAAACCTCTCCTGCATCGTCCCTTGCCTGTCAGCTGTGGAGCATGCTACAGTGCTCAGCTTTGAAAAAAGGGGGTTATTAAGTAGCTGTCCTGAAAACCTTCACTTGCTTATTTTTTGGATGCTGGGATTAATTGTCTGAGTTTGTCACTCTCATTTTGTTCATTCCTTCTGCTCCTGAAAGTGTTGCTGTCTGAGCTTGTCTGCACGACTTACTACATCTCCCTGCTAGCAATGGGCTTTCTCAAAAGATGTGGAAAAATGAAAGGACGTTTCATTTGGATCTGTGTGTGATTACAATGTGGGAAATGCCAGAGGGCAGTGGAACTAAAGCAGCCGCTTGTGTTCAACCACACAGGATACCATTCATTCTTCACGGACTGGGGCTTGCCAAAATATTGGACAAGAAAAATTCTGACCCAACCTTGTATTTAATTAAATGTGTTTTCAATAGATAAAATCAAATTTTCCCAGTTTATTTGCCTTTCGTCTGTCCTCTTAGCCCCATCTTTTACAGTTGCTTATTTTTTAAAAGGAAACACTTGCACTTGATTGAGGACCAAGTTCAGTGCTCCCAGGCCTGAAGAGGCACATGAAGACTGGCACTTGGAAACGTTTCCCACTCATAAAATGACTGTTCTGAGTCTCTTGTGTAATTTGTCTTCACAGAGGTGCTAAAAGGGCACTACAAGCTATTCATGGAAGAATTATGCCGTGGCATAACTTTCTTGACTGCTATTCTGTTAGCATGCCCCCGCCTTTGCTTTAATGGGGCTGCCATCCAGAAAGAATTAAAAAAAAAGTGAATGGCAGACCCAGCAAACTTAAATGGCAACTCCATCCCACACTCCAGATTGCATGACAGCATTGTTTCTATCGCACTGATTTCCTTTTATCACAGCAGCAAAAAAAAAAAAAAGTGGATAATAGTTTTTGGAAAGATAATTACTTATTAATCCAGCATCCTTAATCTTCAGAGATCAAAGCTTTGCCTACCGGTATGGCTTTATCTTTTCAGCTGGTAACATTGTCATCTAAATACATGCTCTATAAGCACTGTAATCAGCATGTAGTTGTTGAATCCCCGTGTACTGGAGAAAGTTTGCAGTTTAGTTGCTGTGTTTCAAAGTAGCTTTCACCTGAGTGTCAGGGATTGCCACTGAAGGGTAAATGGTTTTGGCTTTTGGGCAGCTGAGGAATGGGTTGTCATTCCCTGTTCAGTGAGGTTCTCTGGATGATCAGGAGTAGGGAAGTGGTTTTCTCAAAAACTATTTACCTCTGGTAGAAATTGTACTTCAAGTTTTGTGCTTGGCTTTGCTTTGGCAGAAGAGAAAGGAAGCACTGCTGAATGCTTTGGTGCATGGTAAAATGGTGGAAAACACTGGCACCATCACATTACCCAGTGTCACTGAAGGAGTTAACAAGTGTCACACAACTCATGACCATATGGAAGAAATCTAAATATATCAGTGACAAGGAAAATAGAGAGAAAACAGTGGATAAAAAGGCTCACCTGCGGATAAAGCCACCACTGATGGCCATCTGCTCCCGTTCATCTACAACACGTGCAGGCTGGCTGGCTACAACGCCATCCTGATTATTGCCCCAGGCTTTTTTGTAAGCATCACTTGATTTAAGCCTATGCAAAAAAGTTGATGAGTAACAAAGCATCCAGTGGACAAGGACAAATGCAAAATTTTACTTCTCCAAGCTAGAAGCTGAATCAAGCAAATGAGTTTTCAGAGGGTCATTGATTGTATACCGATATATCATAACCCTGAGTAAAAGGATGGGTTTTTGTTTAGTTTTGGGTGTTTTTTTTTTTAAACTTTACTGCCACAACAACCGTGATGGTCAGAGGTTTTGTATCCAATAGGGTGAATTGCAACTTTTAAGTCCACAACACTTCACACAAGTTTTTGGATGTTGACTGAGTTTCCAGAAAGGAAAAAGAAAAAAAAAGAAGAAAAAAAAGAGAGAAGAAATACAGATAAGTAGAAAACATTGTTTCATTTCAGCGACACATACGTTGTGACATCAAACACAGTGAACGTATTGGCAGACAGACATAAAAACATAACTGCCAAGTATAGTGTGTACATCACATCACAGCAACACACCCTCTTAGAGTAAAAAGGATTTGGCTAGACTTCAACATTTTACAATGCAGAACATTGGGCTTTTGCTGTTGTTAACATATATGTGGCATAAGAGGCAGTTAAAGCCCCTAACCTTTTCCGAGGTGGTTTGGAGATTATTTTATCATAACATTCATAGGGTTTGTTAGATTTTCAAATAATATATCGGTACATGAAAATAGTAATCATACATCTACAGTTGATGTACAAACCTTTGTCCACAGAGACAAAAAGTAAAATAGGCAGAAGTGAAATGAGTGCAGGAGAAAAGAATAGATACAAGCAATCTAGCATCAGAAAGGGAAGTTTTTCTACATTTTCTTCATGCACCAGCTACAGGCATGAATAAGAAGTAAAGCATTCTCACTAAGCACAGTTGCTCCAATAGTTTGTCATACTCTTAATGCATCAGCAGTAACAGCCTTCACAATAAGCAAGACACAGGCAAAAATGGATCATTACTTCCTTCAGGATTTTTAAACTACAGGACTTTATAGCAGCCTAGCATGTCACTGTATTTGTTTTATTTGTTATTCACTTTCAAAGAGCCATTTTTGACTGAGCTGCCGTGGACAGAAAATTAAAATCCAGGCATACCTTCAGTGGCAGATTAGCATGTGTAGCATATTTAGGGTTGCTGCATTGGAGCTGTCAGACAAGATTGAACACTTAAACAAGACAGCATGAGTGTTGAGGATCTTTATCTGCAAATTCTTGATTTTATTCTAGAAATGGAGCAGTTTTCAACAGACTTCTTGGGAACTGCAAATCCCCATGGTTTCCCTTTTCTTCAGTCAGCAACAGTCAGTCATATAAACAGCTCTGTGGCTTGGAATTTGGGAGAGAAACAGCATGCTTCTGGGGACTTTAGGAAAGGACACAACAAACTTATCTCTGGTTTTATGTTCTTTCCTTGCCCCCTGAAGGAGCTCAGTATCTGTTAAGTCTGAAGATACGTTGTATCCTTCCATATAGAATTAAAATACAGATGCAGAGAGGGTATTTCCCAAATACCCATTTGTTGTTCCATTGCTTACTTTCTATGAAATTTGTGAAGAGTTAGAAAGAGGATGCTTGGCTTATTTCTTCTTAGATCTCTGGAACTAACAATTGAGTTTCACATTTCTAGAAATAAGAGAAAGTAGCTCTCCTATATTTACAGATATTTGTCTGCTCTTTAGACCCACACAACTCAGAGTCTACGTTAGAAGTGAATGATTTGATGTACCCAGAACCCAACCTCTATTTTCTTGTGGAGTTGCAATTAATACAGGTGGAGCCTGGGCCTGCTCGATGTCAGTAGCATTTGTCCTTTTGACTGCAGGCTAGCCTAAGTTTCATGACAGGGGTATCGTGGGTCTTCTAAGAATGGAGGGTCAAGCTTTACATTTTGATACAACTCACTGAGTTATGTTCACAGCAGAGTACAATTACATGTGAAACAGTTAATCTTTATGAAATATGTGCATTTAATTTACCACTAACCAGAAAAGCACTAAGAGATCATGGTGATACTAATGCTCAGAACTGTCTGGATTTCTCTCCCTCCTACACTACGCTTTTCAGAATATCATCTTATTTGTACCAGTTGGTTCCTGGCACGGTGATTAAAGGAACAGGCTACGAAAGCATTGTTCATCCTTATTTTGTTTCTAAACATGTTCACTGATTAGCAGTGCTAGATTATGAAATAGGACTGCAGTCTGCAAAGGCAGAATACTGCCTTATAGCCAGGATGACACACCTTGAAAAATGAACATTGTATGCGTACAGTATTTTCCTGTTCTTGCACCTATTGATTTCGTGATACTGCAATCATTGTGGTGCCATGTGTCAGCTACTAACCCTATCCATGCCACAGGTCTGGCTGTCAGTTCAGAGCAGCCTTTCCTACAGAATAGAACAATTAAATCTGCTCTGAAAAAACGAAGATTCCTGCAAAATACATGATGATTTTTTGTTCTTCAGGGAAAAACTTTCGTTGTTGGCATACACTCCAGGAGGAGCAAGATGCTGTCTTGGCTTGCTCTTCTTTAGCTTGCAACAGCTTATAAGTGTGGGAGTATCTCAGGTACTGCTGCATACTTCTGTACCTGCAGCTCTTGTTCGACTGTACCTGCACTTGTTCGACTGCCTGTTTTAATTCAGAAGACTATTAGGGATGCAGCCAATATCACAGCTAGAACTGATTGCAGGGGGGCCCACTCAAAAGGTCTATGTGTGTGTGTGTCCTTTCCATTTCTTATTGCCTCTCTCCCACTCTGTATATCAAGGCAATAGCATACATATTCTGTGCAGACTGTTTACCTCCACAAAGTATTTGTAGCTGGGTGCACAGGAGCAAAACCAATTTTGAAATCTGAGGCAGTAACTGCATTGTGTCCCAAGGGAATTCTCTTCAAAATAAATCAGGATTGAGAAGACAGAAATCCAGTCATAATCTTTCTGTTCTGGGCCAAATTTCCACTGAATTCCATGGCAGCTCACTTTCATTTGGTCTGGATAATCTTTGTAGGACTGACTATGAAGAAAGCATCTGTGCCATGCAGGAAGAGAATACAGTACTGCAGAACCACTGCTCTCTGCCTTGTTTTCTGTACAGTCTCTGGCCAATCACTTATAAATGCTTTCACTGTAACCTATCTGATTGCTGACTCACTGCATGCTGGGTTTGCTGTTCCTTGAGGACTTCTGGTCTGCCCACTTTGTCCCCCACTTCCTACACCACATAACAGTACTTCACATTTTCATCTGGCACTTAAAACAAGCTTTGCATTACTGGAGGACAGTTTCGTTCAAAAGTGATGGCATGCAAGCACATTTGATACATTTCAACATTTCTCCTTAGTGTACATGCTACCCAAATGAGATAATTTTTTTTTGCTTGGATTTTCTCAAATCTGGTTGTTTATGACAGGATAAAACCATTTCACATTGAGTTCCAATTGTGAAATGTCATATCTTCTTCAGTTTTGTCAAGAACAATTTCTGTTGAACAATGAGAAGTATGGTTTTCATCTGTAATTTTGACTAGTGTTTATTATTGCCTCTTCTGCATTTCCAAACTATAGGGTTTTTTGTTGTTCCTTATTAAACTTGTTTTCAAAAATGTTTTAAAATTTAGGACCTCCAGGAATAAAGTAGCTCCAGTGGTTTTGATCTCTGGAAAATGGAACCACTCAGTACACTGTGTAAAATGTTGAAACTTATACCATTAGAAGGTGTCAACAGTGAAGCTTTCACTGCAGTATGCCTGATTTTAATGCATCTACAGTAATTTCCAGTCACTTGTCTATGCTATGAGATGAATGCGTTTGAACCAGAATCGTTCCTTCTGCATGCCACATGCTCATCCTGTCCATGTGCCTAGCAAGGATGAGCTTCACAAGGCCTTTGGGATCAGCCTTAAGTGCTCAAAGAGATGAGGCAGGCAGCACCTACTTGTTACATGGACAGACACAAAGACCACAGAATTTTCCTAGGTCCGTCAAATTCTTTTCTGCTTCTTTCATGTCCTTATTGATTTGGTCCATTCCCTCTTCGATGCGTTCCAGTTGTTCTGATTAAACACAAGTATTTTATCCCCACAGAATGAAGCAGATGGAAAAGGACAAAGAAAAAAAAGACAAAAACTTCAGACATTCACTGTGACAAAAAAAACTGGACACCACATAGCAGAGCCGGTACCCAGTACCTACTTGTTACAAGGACATATGAAAAGGCCACAGCATTTCCCTAAATCTTTTAAATTTTTCTCGGCCTCCTTCATGTCTTGGTTGATATGGTTCATGCCTTCTTCAACACGATCGAGTTGTTCTGGTCAGGACAAAGGGATGACAGTGTGGAATGAATTGTATTTTTGTTTGTTTGTTTTTGTCTTCAACAGAACGTGAAAAATGACCATGTGGAACTGAATCAGTAATGACATTACAATGCATTAATCCAATCTGATGCATTGTTAACATGATGTAAGCCGTTCTGGATGCCGAAGATGTTTTTTACTAATATGGAAAGAGTAAAACAATGGAGGAAGATGTTCAAAATATATTAATCTGAACAAGATGTAATGATGTAGAAAGTAAGGGTTATAAACTTTAAGGTCCAGAAACATGATACAATGCACCACTTACTAAGACACCAATGACATCCAAAAGAAAGCAAGATAAAATGTTATTATTTTGCATTTATTCATGTTAATACAAGAGAAAAGGTAACTTTCTATGGAAGATACCTCAGTTACTTACGCTTACAAGTGCCTTGAAGTTAGGTGAGGTGTGGCAGTGTAACTGCTTGGGTTAGTGGGTACTGAGTGAGACAATTGGCAGAAACAGAACCAGAGGTGGTGTGTGAGCTGTGAAGAACTATGTCCAAGTACTCCTTTTTCCAGGGGCTGAGAAAACTGAAACCTGCCTCTCTGATGGGCTTTGGAGGTTAATCTCGAATCTGCCTATGGCTTTGGGGCTGATTTTCTTTCTTGCGTGGATGCTGCAAATTAGGAGTAACTCCTGCAAACAGAGAGGAACTGCAGCCACTGCAGGAGCCTGATACTCACTGAAAGAGGCCCGCTAGCTGTGGCATACATTGTCTCTGTCCCCAGGCAATTTTATGAAAATAAACAATAGGTAAAGAATAAGAGTTTTCAATGGGGTCACTTCTGATTTGCTCCAGGCTGAAGCATCAAGTGCAGTAACCAGCCTAAAGCCTGCACTGTCTCTGCTGGCATCAAACAGAATTTGTCTTATTTCTGCTTAAGGCTGACAGTGATTTAGTCTTCTCTTAGAGACTTAAAGGTTCAGAATAACTTACTTGTTAGAGAAACAGAATGCCATGCCAAACAGTAAAATTGTAGGACCAGATTCTCCACTGTACGACAGATATTGGATCCAGTGGGACTGGGAATCTTATGTGGAGTTTGTGGCAGTTATGGCACTTTACGCTGGTGGGAAGCTTCAACATTTGTTTCATAAAAATAAACTCAAGTACTACATGCAATGAGAAAGTTACTTGGAGTAGCATTTCAATCCAGTAAAAATAAATATATACCTAAGGAGTCTGTGAAACAATCACATTCCTGTTCCCTGTATTGAGAAGAAAAAAATATAAACACAGAATTTGAATTGAGTGGAGAGGAACTAAGACAGCATTGGTTACAGGAGAAACTCCAATGTCATCCCTGACATTAACTGAGCTCTGCCAAGATTAAATCTTAAAAAAAAAAAAAAAAAAAAAAAAAAAAAAGAAAACATTTTAGAAAAAAAAATAAATCATGTGCCTATTGACGTCAGTATGAAACTTCTCCTGACTTGTTTGGGAACATGAATAGGCCTAATTTCTTAGTTGGGCTTCTAATAACAATGGAGGCTTAGATTTTCAAAGCTGTCTGGGGGATTTGGATGCTCAATTCCCATTTAAATGAATTGTATTTAATTAATTTTAATGAGAGTTGGGCATCTCACCCCTAGAGGGCCTTGAAAATACTGTCCTAAATTATCCAAGCTGAAATACTTCAAATACTGGACTTAAAATTTTTGCTTAATCCTTGCATGAAGCTGGATTTGGAGAAGAAGTGCCATGTCAGCATTGCTGGCTGCATCTGCTCTTCAGCTGTTAGTTCTCCTTCTTCCCAGCTGGATGCGCCTGCCTCCTGATGGCATGGCCATTATGGACCCCAATTCCAGGGGGCTCAGAGTACCTAGCAGTGTTCTCTAAAAGGAGCACATGTAATGTGAGCAAAGTATTGGGAAACAGAGAAGGGAACCTGAGCGGTACATTGCTCAAGTTCTGCCAGATAGATACTCTACTGAGAAAATATAGAATATCAGAATCAGTAAGGTTGGAAAAGGCTTTTTAAGATCATCAAATCTGAGGTGATCCCCACCGTGCCCACTAACCCATGTTCCTCAGTGCCACATCTCCATGGTTCTTGAACACTTCCAGGGACAGTGACTCCATCACCTCCCTGGGCAGCCTGTGCCAGTGCCTCACCACTCTTTCTGAGAAGAATTTTTTCCTAATATCCAACCTGAACTTGTCCTGGCTCAACTTAAGGCCATTACTTCTCATCCTCTCACTGTAATCTGAGAGAAGAGGCAGACACCTACTTCACCACAACCTCCTTTCAGGCAGCTTAGAGAGCAGTGTCTGCCCTGAGCCTCCTCTTCTCCAGACTGAACCAACCCTGTTCCCTCAGCTTGTGCTCCCACTGGTGCTACAGAATCTTCACAGCTTCTTTGCCTTTCCCTGGACACACTCCAAGGCCTCAATGTCTTTCTTGTAATGAGTGTATTTCTTGTAGAGGTACTAGGTTGTATTGTTTTAATGCCCACCGTAATTTTACATTTTGGTGTGGATGCTAGAGCAGAAGCAGTGGTTCATGTTTGTACCCACAGATTGTGAATCTCACCAGAGCTGTGAGTACATGGTAGAAGATGGTATTCCTCCAAGCTCTCCTGCTCCTCACTAGCTCTGAGTCTTGTGCATCTGGGCAGCACTCTTGCTCTGCGAGGCGGTGGTGGGAGTGTGAGTTGCTTGTCTGCTGGCTTATGCAACATGAAGGGAATTGCTGAATTTCCATTGCAGATTCCCTCATTTTGCTCTTGAGAGCTGTTTGCAGAGCCTGGCTGGTTCTCAGGGTTCTCAATTAAAAGGATGTTACCAGATGCATATTTGACACTGTGGCGACAAGAGGTACTGACCTCTCTTCCAACTTTGAGGTACTGACCTCTCTTCCAACTTTGCTGCCTGTATTTTCCTAACCTTAGTTGGGCAATAGAAAAGTCAGGTGAGACTGCAGGGATCAATTGTAGATCAGGTACCACTGGTTGGCTTCTATTGCAAGCATGTTTCCTTGCTCAGATCTCTGAAGCCAAGCGTGTAGCAGGGCATTTTGAGCTTTTTTTTTTTTTTTTTTCCTGTTTCCTATTCTGCCTGAATAGATGAGTATTAATTGAAGATTATATTTGACATGACTTAAAGACTTTTATTTAAGTTATAACTCTCTCCAGGAGTCTGGCTTAATTTAGCTTTCTTTAGGATTTGTCTGATGCTTATAGTATTTCTTGAAAGAGACTCATAACTGATTTATCTTCCACTGAAGGAAACCTCATCAGTGTAAAGACTATCCCACGTGTGTAGCCCAGAAGTCTAGACAGTTCCTAAAACCACTTGGTAGTTGATAATACAGTGGACAGCACTGTTAGCTGGTTTAAATCAGCATAGTTATGCTGGCTTCATGGAGCAATACCAGTTCATACCTGTCAAAGTTCTGGACTCACAGGCAAGTAAATAGATTCATGAATCTAATCACAATTATTGAGGCATAAATATTACAGAGGAATTAACTTAATGGGGTCGCTCTGGATTTGTTTAGGAATGAATGATATTAAAATCTGGCCCAGAATGAATCACTGTTGGCAAGTAATTAGATGATTATCAAAAGCTTAATTTGTTGCTCTCAAAGACCTCCCCTAGTCTACCTTTGTGTATTGTATTAAAAGTCTTAAGAAAGACAGTCTGCTGGCACATACTGCCATGAATCTATGCAAACTCACACCAGCAAAGATCATGTTCTTTATCACTAATTTACAGAAGCACTTCAAGGTTGGAGCTTAAACATTTTTTGATAGTTTGTTGCAGTGTTCTTTAAATATATTATGTCTGCGTGTACATTTATATACATATATATCATATGTATGGCATGTAAGGTAACTGGCACTGCCTCAGTTTGGTGCCAGAATACACATTAGAGGTGTGTTCATTCTGATTTCCTTCTTTCTTTCTTTTTTTTTTTCTTCCCCCAGGAAACTACTGAATAGTAGTCCCTTTTGCATATTGATACTATCCTAGTCTGAGAATGCCACTTTAAAATATAGTGGCCATATTTCTGCTTTCAAAGCTTACAGCAAACTGATGGCAGGCCTTAGAATTTATGCAAGGATATTTTTTTTAACCTGTATGATTACACTTGTGAATTACTTCTATATCAATACTGCAAGCATCTGAGGTACTATAATGTTGCTCAGCTAGTTTTATGGTATCATTTGCCAGTGATCTTCTGTAACAGCTTGGCAAATCCCCTCTCTATGGCTGATCCCTGGGGAAGTGGCTGGAAGGGGGCAATAGTGGTGAGGGGGTCCCTGAGCTCCTCCTGTGGCCTCTTGAGCAAACACAGCTGCAAAAGCATCTTTAGCAGTGTTGGATGTAAGAACAGGACAGGCACAATGTGGTGGTGCTCCACCTTTGAATCCCCATCTGCAATTAATAAAAAATATTCTTCAACCAATATTTGGGCCTGGGCTTTCTGAATTTCAGTTAAATGCCTTTGAAGAAGGGAGCTTGCTCCTTCTATGTAGAGATGTGGAATGAAGCAATTTCCACCAAGGACAATTTTAATTTTTTTTTTTTTTTAGAAAAGGACATTTGAGAGTACATTTTAATCGTAATTGCATACCACAGGGTTGAGTTTGAAAGAGAGTCAGCAGATTAACTATTTCCAGTGATAGCTGGTGATCCAGTTTTCCACAAAGAATCATTTTGGATCAAAGCACATTTCTAGAACAG